AGAGCATCCTCCAATTGCTACAGCGCTAAGCGTATGGAAGTGTGCACCCAGCACAGCCTCTCTCTTGGTTTGGACACACCTTGGTCTCCTCCATCCCTCACTTCTTGCTGCCACTTGACTTTATCTGCTAAGCAGCAAGAGAAAATAGTGTGGCTACGATAGAGGTTTAAAGTGAAGAATAGGGGAAAAAGTCTTAAAATACACCCTGAAATCATAACTTTCTACTTGCAGCTTGCAGGATTGAAACAGATTGTAGATGTTCAGAGCCTTTAGGGAAAAAAAAAAAGTGTCTTTTATGGAATGATACTTTCATAGCAAGAATAGTTGTAAATTTCTTTCTTATAAAGTACAACAGACTAAAAACCTAGTAGTAGTCCTGGTCATGACTTTGTGCATACGTGTGCATATCATGGTACATCAAGTTGTGTCGTGACATGGCATACTTAGTCATGACTTTGTGCATGCTTCGCTTTTTTTTTTAACACCACACTACACACTCCCTTTCTCCTTAAATAGTAGTTGGAGCAAATCTAGTTAAATTGAGATGTTAGCACCTGCAGTCGTTTTCTTTCTCTTCCTGTGGTCTTATTTGCCTCAAGTAATTGTCAGAGCGCTGTTACCACATTTCCTGTTTGAAGCCATAGTGAACAGTGTGCAGTCAGATGATACAGAGGGTTCACCCTTAAAAGGAACTTCATAGGTGTTTTTAAAAAACAGTGGGCTGTTCTTAAGCTATATGATTAATAAGTAGCTTTATTCTAACTGACCCTCTGCAGCATGCAGCATATTCCGGTTTGGATCAAGAAAGGTAAATGCTCTCTAACCGCCTTTTGCCTCTAAACACGAAGAGCTTGGAAGGGGACATTGATTCTTTTTTTTCTCCTTCCTCCTTTCCTGCTCTGTTTATTTCCTACAGAAAAGTTAATACTGCTTTAGTAAGAAAAATTGCTTATACTGTAAGAGAAAGTGCTCCACCCCCACCAGCCATTAATGCAGTGTTCACACTTACTGCCTTTATGACTGGTGTTGAACAGTAAGCAGTAGTCTTGGTTTTGCATTAGGTCAGCTACTTCGAAATAAACTTTGGAGTAATGAAGATTACTTTACAGGTTTTCACTTTAAATTTTAAATAATGTGTCCTTTCTAATATCTTCATTTCTTCATACTACTTAAAATGTCTATAAATTGCTTGAAACTCAAGTTGTACGTAAGGTATCAAAGCTTTAAAATGTGACAGAGATGATCAGCGTGTCCTGTGTGTTCTTGCAATGTGAGCTGTGCACTCTGAAATAAGTTGCATTCAGTGTTCACAAAGTTTAAAGGGGAAAAAGCAAATAGGGGTTTGACCATTTACCACTTTTACTAACTTTCCAGTTCAGACAGAGTAAGTGCCTTGTCTTTTCAACCTGAGCTGTATGATGTTCTGAGCACCATAAAACTCTGTAAAGAGTGAAAACAAAGGGTGACGGAGCGGTTTTCTTGAACTGTGTTCTTCAGCCACTGTTGTCCTCTTCGTCTGGCAAGCCTGCGCAGACAAATGCAGCACCGCTTGCCAACAGTGCCATGTTAAAAGCTCGATCCTATGACAAAGCAGAGAACTAGTTTTGGGGTCTCATTAATTGCAGCTGGGTTTGGGGCACAGTCCAGGCTGTGCAAGAACAATTTTTCTCGAGATTGCTAGTGGGCTGATACTACAGAACTACCTGGCTGGTAGCTGTGGGTCGGTATGGTGCTTTTTTCTTTCTTTCTTTCTTTCTAACCAATAATTTGGAGAACAGAATTTTCCTGTTTGAACTTGTCTTTAAACAAACAGCTAGCAGAGCCCTGAGAAAAGTCCTAGTGTGCTGCTGTTGACATTGCAGTGCTGATACGCCTTTTTGCCTTCAGTTTAATCGCTTTTTCATTACGTTTTGGTGCGCCGGATTTATACCTGTTCTATTAACTTGGCCACTGTAAAAATCATTCGTTTAGCAGAGTGGGGGTGTATAACATTCCAGTGCTCTAACAAATAATGCTAAGCTTTTGTTAGCCTTCTTAGAGCTGCAGTTACTGTCAGTTTTCTTCAGACTTAGACGGTGCCTCCCACCACCTTTTTTTTTTTTTTTTTTTAAATTAAAAGACAACAGATTGGAAAGCTGCTTGGTACTGATTGCAGAACCATGAAATTAAAGGCAAATGTGGCACTGTACAGGCTATAGAAACTAAAATAATTTTTTAGGAATGAACGTGTTATCAGAGACTATTATGATCTCTAGCTGAGCTTTGTAAATTCTGCAGCTTTTGATTTAAGGGGGGGGGAAGTCAGTTTCAAAGAGAACTCTGTGCTGGAGGGCACAAGCCTTGCATGCTGAGAGTGGCTGGGTGGAGAAAGCCTCCTGCACCCTGGATTGTTTTGTAACCAGGAGGATCCAGGCCCACAGGAGCAGGCACAAACCCTTAGGGTTTGTTCCCAGGGCTTCAGCTCATGGACTTCACGCCACAGCGAGCTGGAAATGAGATGGATTGACAGAGGAATTTCCCTGCCCTTTCCTTGTAACAGCAGGATGGAGGTTAACGATCTGTGAGAACAAGAATCTGGTATGTTAAATCTAGACGTTGTCAAAAAGAGATTGTGGGGAAGCAATAATGCAAGTGTCAATTCCAGGAGCTGCAGATCAGAATATTGGGTCCCTTGCACAGCAAGAGAAGCCCTCTGCAATGTACCATTTACAGCTCTGGCAGGTTGCAGTGTATTAGACTCAAAAACGCTCCCACTTTGAGTACTTGCTTTCCCAATTTCTCATAATCAGCAGCTAGAATTGGGGGAGCATTGCTTCATTTAAGAACAACTTGGAGCTAATCTTCTCAGAAGTAAAAAGTTGTAAGAAGAGAAGCTGTACAGTTACTGCACTAAAATTGTCCATTGTGACATGCTTAACGGCAGATAACCATGTCTTAGGTCCAATTTTGTTACATATTGAATCAAGTTCAGAAAATAGTTGTATAGCATACAGATTCTGATACTGCAGAAAACAGAACTTTCTTATCAAGCTTTTATATTTTAGTCCAGCTCTAGCTATTTAAAGTTGATCAAACATTCAGTAACCAGAATTGAGACGATTATGTGAAGTCAACTAATTATGAAGTGAGAACTTAGAGTCTTTTAAAGTTATTTTCATTCTTGGATTTCACACTGTTGGTTGGTAATTCCCATGTTTTCTTGTAGCTTCTTGACACATACATTTGATTTAGATGATCATGTTTAGGGCAGAAAAAAAATCTCCATTTAAGTAGTGAAACTATGTCTCATTTGCACTGTACTAAGACTTTTTTTTTGAGCTGTCTGGCAAAAGAAAGGTTATGCTGAAGGATTTTTTTGTTTGGTTTGGGTTTTTTTCTTAACCTCAAGGTGTTCTGTTTAATAACATCACTTTGTATGATGTTACTGATAGGAAAAGCTAGTGAAGCACACCTCCATTCTGATTTATGGCAAAAAATGCCACAAACAGGCACGTAAACTTAAACGCTACCAGTAGCTCTTTCAGAGCTAGGAGAGACCAGTAGTTTTTCTGGGGTTTTGTCATTTGGATGCGGTCACTGCAGCTTGCATTTATTTCTTGAAGAGCCTCTTGAAAGGTAAGAAGTGGGAAAGCTTCCCAGAGGCTTTGGTCTTAGTATGGGAAAGGTACTATTCTATTTTTGTGTGTGTACGCTGTAGCCAGCAGTCCTAGGAAGCTGCTGGCTATGGTTGCACGGTACTGTAGCTTGGCGTGCACGTTATAAACGAGGGACCTCAGTGTTTTTCTGCTTGGCATGTAGGGAAGTGTGGAAGGCAGTGGGACTGCACCGCCACGGAACGGGCAGGTATGTACATCTGTGTGTAGCTTATGTATCCCATGAGGTCCCAAACCGCTTCATACTGTGACGAATTGCATACAAATAAGAACGCCTAGTTATGCTTGTATGAATGAAGATGCAGTCGTATATAGAGTTGTTGAGGAGTATGTATGTAAAAAAACTTCTGAATTCTCATTATCTCACTTTCTCTGCAAGGAAAGTTTATGATAGATGGCAAGATAAATGACCAGGGTGAAATCTCACAGGAATTTTTATTGCACTTTTACTGAAAGAAGCCTGGTTGGAGATTAACCAATAAACATTATTTTAGCAAAGGAATGGTTGGAATCTGGAGCCTCAGTTGTTCCATATGTGGAACTTCAGAAGTTTAAGGAAACAGTTTCAAACTCTGAAAGTGATGTCCTGTTTTGAAGCCAACTGTAAATGAAGCAGGAGAGTAGAGAGAGTGGAAGCAAAATACATTGAGTTGACCACACCCAGACATTGTGCAAATTTTCTATGTACAGAAATCTATTTATTTGTTTCCTCAACATTTAGAAGAGTATGCCTTTGCTTGACAGCTGTGCAGCAGGGTTGGGTTGTATGGGCAATTGTCCCTTTCTGAAATGACGTTTGAATGTTAGAAGCAGATCAGAGATGGCTGCCAAAGAATTGGACAACAGTTCTTGATATCGCTACATCTAACCAGAGTTGGAATGTCAGCTTCGTACAGATTTCTGGTATATGCCATTTTTGGTAGTTATTGTAGAAATAAGCACGTGACTTGTTTGCTAGTGTCTCTTCAGCTTGTGATTCAAGATATTACCAAGAAATCACTGGTGTGGGTGGCTGTCTGGAAGCACGAGATTCTGTATCTTCTTTATTTTTTGATGTAATGTACTTCTGTTTTCAGGTTCACATAACGCTAGGGACCAAAGAAGAACACGTAACATTTCTGTGGTGCTGGGACCAACCTTCTGAAAGACGACTACAAAATAACCTTTTTTGCCTTCAAGTTGTTTGTCGTGGGACTGACTTGTCTTTGGAGAAGAGCTCAACAGAGAGAAGACTTTCCCATCAGAAAAGTTATAAATAAACCTGTTTAAAGAACTTGCTACCTGGGGATACATTTACGGAGGTTGAGTCCTGCTTTTCATCGGTGTTCGCACTTCAGACTGTAAACAATGAGTGAGTTTTGGTTGTGTTTCAACTGCTGCATTGCAGAACAGCCTCAGCCTGTAAGTATGAATATGGGCACTGGTTTGGTTTTGTGTAAGTAACTACACCGTTTGCATCTTCTGGTTTTCTTACAGCTTTTTAAATTAGTGGTGTTTGGCCAATTAAAGAATTAAGTAACATCCTGGCTTAGTGGGGACAAAAAAAAAAATCTGTTCCAGACTGTTGTCATACAGATACTTTCCTGTCCTTAAGATCAAATCTATTCAAAGCCTTTGGAAAAAAGCCTTTATTTGTTTGAATTGAAGAGGAGGGGAAAGGAAGGGTGAGGACGACCTAAACTATTCTAAAATAAATAATTTTTGAGTGGAGATCTGTAAATGTCCTGCCTTCTGTATGGCTTAAGGCCTGCCTCCAGGTGTGGCTGGACAATGATGAAGGAAGGAAATTATTCTGTTCAAAAGTTCAGAGTGAAATCCAGTCCTCCTCCACCTTAATGTAATTAAGGATTTCAGCCTTAGTTGTTAATGCTTAGATGAAACCTTAGGAGTGTGAAAAGATGCACTTATACTGTAAATACCTTTTTTTTTTAAATAGAATTTGGAATGACTGAAAAAGTACGTAGCAAACAGTTGGGTAAAAGTACATTTCAAAGGAAGTCAAAGTACAGAAATATTCTTGGGTTTCAAATACCCTGAATACCTTTAGAATGTGTTCCTAAGTCCAGTGTTGTTGAAAGAAAGTCTGTGTGCACAGAGGTGGAATTAAGCAGGAATATGGTTAGCACTGTGAGAAAAATCGTTGTATAGTGTGGCACCCAGATCAAGCTAAATGGATGTATAGAAAGGACATCATCCTGCAGGTAGGTGGAAAAAAGCCCATTTACTAATAAAGTAGAATTGGGCTTGTTCAGCCTGGAGAAGAGAAGGCTCCAGGGAGACCTTATTGCAGTACCTGAAGAGGCTACAAGGAAGCTGAGGGGGGACTTTTTACAAGGGCCTGTAGTGACAGGACAAGGGGTAACGGGTTTAGATTGAAAGCAGGGAGGTTTAGATTAGACATCAGGAAGAAGTTCTTCACAGGGAGGGTGGTGAGGCACTGGAAGAAGTTGCCCAGAGAAGCTGTGGATGCCCCATCCCTGGGAGTGTCCAAGGCCAGGCTGGATGAGGCTTTGAGCAACCTGGTCTAGTGCAAGGTGTCCCTGCCCATGGCAGGGGGTTGGAACTGGATGGTCTTTAAGGTCCCTTCCAACCCAAACGATTCTGTGATTCTGTATGCTGGAATTACAGTGACCAAAAGAATCCCAGAAAAGAGAAGACTCACATTAGTATGTTCAGATGATAAAATTTGGCTTTAAGGAAGCCAAAGGATTTTAAAACAAAAAAAAAAAAAAAAAAAAGGCAAACCTGAAACTAATGTTAGGTGTTGCCATTGCACAAAGCCTGAATGCTAGGATGATCCTTGGGTGGCAACGCAAATATTAAAGTGTGACCATTAACATTTCTGACAATGAATGCAACTTACTGTCACTCTTAGTCAAGTAGGGAGATGAACTCTGAGATACTGACATGGGAAGCTGCAATCTTCTCCTGTTGCTTGAATAGCATGCAGTGTTTTAAAATGCTGGCTGCATCCATATATAGCCAAAGTTATTTGCCCAGTTTTTTGAACATATATTTCAATTAAAAATAAGGTATGACTGGTAAAAATGTTTGAGATAGAAAATAGCATATTCTGTTTGTTTACAAGAATCCTGAGGCTCAGTCGTTAAAAAATCTTGACTCGAACTTTATGATACAATTAAGTTATTGCCCAAGAAATACATGGTATATTACTACAGCATGTAGTGATCTGTGGGTCGTGAGTCATGGAAAGGGTGGAGAATGTACTTCAGAAGTGGAGAAAAAAAAAATTTTTATTCTCCTGATCTGGTCTGGTGGTATGCATTTGCTTAGAAAGTTAAAACTATCCTTATGTCTAAGACACGGTAAGAAGTTGCTTAGCATTGACCTAGTTCCTGAAATCTGCCTTTCAAATGTTGTAGGAGCCTTTGCTAATCATGAAGTGCCAAAATTCCTCAGGACAGACATCTCAGAAAAGAGACTTAGGGGCCCTCCTTGGCATACTTGGCAATAGGTGCTTAGTTGTCCTTCCACTGCAGTTACTCATCTCATTTTGCTGTGTTGTGTTGTACAGGCCTTGTTCTGCCATGCACTGCTGCAGTAAGTGGAGTGTTTAATCACATACGTACACATCTGAGCAAGTACGGGAATGTTTTCCTCCCTGACATGTAGGAAAACATGTACTGTCAGTGTGAGCAAACTGATTAACCAGGCAAAAGTGGTAAGAAAGCAGTCGTTCTCCGTCTCTGCAGGTGTTGCGTGACTGCCTGTTTGGGAGACTTTACAGGCTGAAAAACGCGCTAGTTTTTAGCCCAAAAATACTGGTACTTACTGCCCTGTTGTATCTGAAGATAGGCAAACTTGAGTAAAAGCTACATCTCTGTCCCCTACTGTGCATTCATTCTGTCAGTTTAGTCCGGCCTGTCAGGAGGAATGCCTCACCTGCCGAGTTCCATCTCTTTCATGTGCCTTCTTTCATTCTACCTCTCGCATCTCAACTTCATGGCCTGACTAACAGTGCCCCAGCCATCACTTTCACGTTCAGCAAGCTCCTTCTGTGGAAGGACTGGTGTGGTCTTGTACCCGCACCGATAACCCCCAGCATCTTGGAATAAAGGCTGGGAAAGCAGGAAGTTACTTGGTTTGCTACTTGTTCCGATAAATACTTGAAATCTTCCTTTTGTTTTTAAACAAATTCTCTGAAACACGATTTTTTTTTCCTCATTATCTTTGTTAGGTGCTGATATCTGGGACACCTTTAATGTCATGGATAGTGACATACATTTTAAGCCTCTTCACTTCAGGGGAAAAAAAAAGAGGAAACTTTTAGTAGTTGCACACTTCTGTGATATTTATAACTTCCATTGAGATAAGGAGTTCTCCTTCTTTCTTGCAATCCAGGAACTGTTTCTGTTGCTTTCTTCTGGCAAAATTCTAGCATATTATATTAGGAATCTTCAGTGCAGCATCTCTATTCTTTGCAGATATAGTGCACTTAAAATGAAAAAAGCATACATGCACCGAGTCCTTTCAGTCGATTTTATAGAAGGCTATTATTCATACTGTACACAAAAGCCTTTTCTAGGTTATTGCCAATACTCTGCATGCCTTCCAGACTTGGATACTGAGACTTTCCAGTGCATTTTCATAGGTTTGAACCATGTCTTTTTAGATTAGATTTGCAAACTTTATGGCAATAAGAACACATTGCTTACCTAATTTCACTGCCATCCCCTCCCTGATAGCATAGCCCAGAGCAGAACAGTAACAGTGATGCAGTTACTCTTGCATTTCAAGAGGCTCCTTAATTAAAAGAGAGTATTCAAGTATTACCATCATCTTTTATTGAAATGTGTCACAGCACAGCCTTTTGTCTTTTGTCAGTGCTAAATGGCTGCACTGTGTGGCTGTGAAATGAAACACAGGTGTCTTGGAAAGCAGGATGTTAACTTTGGTTGCTTAATATTTTGCTTGGTGTTCCAGGATCATGGTACTCATAGTAAGATCATGGAAGGTGCATGTTTGCACATGGGTCTTTACAGTTCTCTGGAATAGGCTGATAAATTAAGAAATTGAGTATGCAACAAAACCCAAAACTACGTAGTGATAGAAGAGAGTGTGTTCCTGATGGTGGCTTAGGTCTTGCTTCTTAATAGCCTAAGGTCTTTACCATAGTCGAATGCAAAAAAAAAAAAAACAAACCAAGGGAAGGTGTTATCGTAACACCTTCCAGTTTTCTCTTGTCAGATTTGGATTGAAAATATATTTTACCACAGTGAAGACTTCAGACAGCTAGTTGCTTTCATATTTGTTTTCATGATACCAAGGAGACGATATAAATCTCTTAATAACTATGTTCAGGTTTTCCTGGTTGTCTGAATAGCCTGAATTCAATCTCTTATGATCTGAGTCAAGCCTTTTTTTGAGAAGAAGTAGCACTTTCTGGGATTGCACCAGGTTTCTTAGGCCTCCCACTGATACCCTTTATAGGTTCTGTAAGCTGATCTTGCACTTCCCAGGGACAAGATGAGTCCTCCTTCCCATGCTTCCTATGTGCTGTCGTCCCAGCCGCTGCTATGTTTCAGTAAGCTCTGCCAAATCCCCGCTACCAGATGCACTGCTTGGTAACAGAAGTTGAGAGCCTTTCATCTTGCAGGTTTTCAGAGAACATATCCGTGGTTTCTTTCTTGGGCTGTGCGCATCGCCCACACTGGGAATCTGTTATTCTCCTCCACTTTTCGGGGTTTTTTTTGTGTGTTCTGTCCATTTTTAACTTGCAAAGTTAATTTTTGGACTGAGAAGCCTTTGGTCATGACCTGGTGCACTCCCACCTGGTTTGGGCCACTGCCCAGTACAGCTGAGCTCTGCAGTAAAGTTACTGCTCTGCTATAAAAGAATAAACTGTGCTGTCTTCTGTCTTGCTCCAAGCTTCCTTCTCTAAATTAGTCTCTGTTTTGCTCCTTGTCTCCCGTTCAGATGATTTCCATTTTGTATTTTGTCAAAGGACTACTACAGTTTTGCTGCATGCCATGCCATCGATCTTTAAGGTGGTTAGGAGAGTGACATTTCCTTCGTGTCTTTTTTTGATGTATGAAAGAGGATTGACAGATCTGTCTTTAGAGTGGGAAAGCCCATCTCAAAACACGGGCAGAAGAAGCCCTGCATATACTGCTGTATTTGTCACCTGAACTGAATGCTACAGAAGACTCAAATGATCTTGACTCTTGTTACTTAAGGAAATTAACCAGTGATGAATATTGTCGGCTCTAGCTTTTTATTAGAGGAGGAGTCATAGCTAAGGATACATCTACCACTGCAGCTCTTAAACTTGAACACAGTAAAGATAATGAAGCCTTCCGTATGCGTAACGAAGGCAGGATAACTCGGCCGCAATAGGCAGGCACAGTAAATCAGGTGTTTGCCACTGTCGAAGTACTGGG